ACACACACACACACACACACACACACACACACACACACACACACACAAGCCAGAGTGAAAGAGATACTTTGCAGGGCGACAAATTTAAATTTTCAAATGGATATGGATATGTTAATAAAATCTCGTACGCATTGGGTCCATGTGCGAAATCAGAGACTATGTGAACGATTGTCATGACACTGGTTTTTTGGTGGATGTCAAGTACCTAGATCCAATAGATTGCTTAATCTGCCTGCCTATGTAACTCGCACCCTCTCCCATTTTCTCGCTCATTCGGTCTATCATAATCAAGCGAAGCAAGTTTGTCTCTATTGTGCAAAATGTGTACGAGCTCAAATGGGAAAATAAAACTGTGCCAAAATTATGGATTCGTAAGTCATTAGCATATAAGTTATCCGATAGCTGGGGTTGTTATTATGACAAATGGTAAACACCATTCTTCAAGGAATTAGCGAATCTAATCTCAGCCATCATGTGAATCACACCTTAGCGTTAAAACCATTGTGTATACAACAATATATGTGATCCGTACATATGAGGAGTGTTTGGTATCAAGCAGCAAGGGTTGAATTACACACAAACACCGTATAACGGGAAAAAGTGAACAAAAGAACACGGCATATTTTTTGTTTATGACATCAATTTGCAAGGAGAGCATTTCAACTGACTCATATATACGCAAATTGTTATTTATTTATATTTTTTGCTTTGCATTGCATTGTTTTCGTTCTTCTTTTTCTCACATTATGTTCATTCGTGCTGTTTTTTTTTGTTTTTTTTTTAATTTGCTGCTTAAATTCCAGGACACTCGTGTGAAAGCCCACTGAGAGCATAATGTAAGAATCAAAAGTTTTGCTTACAATGTACAAAAAAAGCAACAACTAACTTAAAAATGAGTAGCAAAAATTGAAAACTCAACAATATTTACCTCGTATAACGTTGTGAGTCGCAGTCGAGAGATTGTTGTATAAGTCTTTATCGGTTTAAAAAGACGAGTGAATTTATTGATGCTGTTGTTTTTTATTTTATTCCTACGTCTTCTTCTTCTTCTTCTTCGTATTTTTTTGCGATTGTTGTTTCGTATTTACTTTGTTACTTTATTTAATCTCTAACACTTTTCGTCTCAGAGAAATTCTATACACAAGTCGAATCGTGTGGTCAGTGGAAGCGATTAATGTTGAATTATGAGTGTATATGCAACTTCGACTGTTCGTATAGGTTTTTTTTTATTTTGATAATGCGAGTTGTTATTGTGCCTTTCCTTTCTTTATGTGCTGTTTTATACGCTGAAGAACGAATGTAACAGAAACACTTTAACAGTTTTTTTTTAGACTTTGCTGTTTGATTTTCTTCTTTTTTTTTGTGTATTATTTTGTGATGCAACCTAGTACTTTTTAGGAAACAACAATACGCGTGTATTATCACTTTTTATTAATGCTTTTCGTGCGCTGTTCTGGATGTTTTTTTTTTCTAAATGGAAAAAAATATATTTCTATTTCTCGCTCTGTATTCTTTGTTATTCGAGACTGCAGTTGAAAACTCTCAATGTTATGGATTTGTGCTCGTTTGTATTTACTGCGTGTTTTCGTGTTAAGATGATGATTTCAGGCGTTTCGTGCAAAGTCGGAATGTTGCTGCTGCTTATTTTAATTCACTGGCGTTTAGATATTCGAATTATTGTAATTAGTGAATTCGCGATGATGATATTTTTCTTTTCCACTGATTTATCTCTGATCGAAAGAAATCTATTAAATCGCACGCAAAAAAATGTGCTGTGAAATTTTATCTCGAATGATGTGTTGGAACTTGATGTACTACACAATTCGCCAAACAAACTCAACTGAACGGATGAGATGATGCCTAAGCGCTGCTGCTCAGATTGATGATTGGAAAGGCGACGAAAATACTATTGATGCTGAAGCGAACGTTCAATGTCTGATGCTCTGATGCTTTACACGGAGAGGATGAATATATAGAGAAGGAACACAACAACGACCAACAGAAAAAAAACACACAGAGATTTTCTCGCTGAAGACTATACAACCGAATGTGAACGGAATAAATACACTACACGATTGCACTCTGCACTGCAAACTAATACAATGCCGAAACCACTGGCAACAGCAGCGAAATATCAGCCACTCCAACACAACACATTTCATCCATATATATATATATATACGTTTATATATGTATGTTGGTGTGTTCAGGCTCGCTACATGTAAATACTACTACATAAACCCCATCCATATATCGCACGGCACCCATCAACGTGTGTATCCAGATAAAGAGAGAACAGACTCAGAGTGAAAATCATGTGAACAAAAAACAACGTTCCAAGTTTTTCCACACTCTTTTCTCTTTGGCAACATAGAATACGTAAAAATACGAAACCAATTTGAATATGCGTACAGCAAAGCGAGAGAGATCGAGTATGGGTCTTTGTTGGTGTGGTTCTGGTATGTTTTGTTGAGCCAAAGCACTGTCGAATGAATATATCAAATACAGACGGAGAGCATAGAATACCGAACCTAAAAAAAGCAGCAGCAGCAGCATCGAAACACAACGGGCTCCGTTCCTCTCTCTCTCTCTCTCTCTCTCTCTCTCGATGTGAACATATCTGGCGAATGTGTTATGTATAAGAATGTGGATAGAGAATGAATCTCGGAGGATTTCAATCGGTGCTGTGTGGAAAAACATGTACGGCTGATACACACAGATGATTTTGCTTATTAATGTACTGGTGACTCGCTGGTTGCCAGTGTGCTACAAAGTGTTGTGCGATCGTCCGTTTTGTTTCCTCGCTGTTGCTCTTGATGCGTGCCTTCTTCCTCTGGCTTGTTGTGCGTATCACACCGCATTGTTAGGTGTATGCGTGTGCAACTCTCTCGATGTGAGTCTGTGTATGTGTGCAAACAACTCGAACCAGAGCTGAGAAACACTACACTGCCTGCATGCCTGCCTGCCTGCGTACATATTCACTTTGCTAACATAACATACTTTGTAAGAGAGAAATATTTATGGAATACATGAACACATGTAGCACAAAATACCGAATGCATCATGATACGTTCTGTTCTAGTGGGAGATATTTCATGTTCCGAGCATCTTGCTGTTATTCTATCGTACGTTTTTCTTCGAAATTTGTACATTGTATTTTCATCGATGGATTGTGTGCTGGAACGATGACTGTATTTGAATCGGACTGCTGCTGGTAATGCTGTCGCCGATGTGATCAAGGCATTTATCGAATCTGAGCGCTGGGTCGTTCGCCATGGGCACTAAAGTTCGGGTAATAGGCTATAAAATTCGAAGGGGGTTAAAGCTGCCAAAAATCGAGAAAAACCATAAACAAATGAGGCGGCAGTTCGCTTTTTCCCGTTCATTTAAATCTTAATGTGGCAATCGTGTATTGGAATTTATGTTGCAGACACACACACACATACACACACAAGTCTCCCTCCCTTCCCCGTGTGCTGTACGGTGCGACGGTGGTGCAAAAAGGGCGAGCCATTCACAGAGCATGCGTATCGTTGTCAAGATTTACGTTCACAACACCATGTACGAATCAGTTTTGGGTGAGATACAGAATTGTGAGTCTGCACGGTGAACACCGTGTGCGTTTCATGTTTCATCGACAACACACACACACACACCGTGTCGTTCCTTTGCACGGCTTTTCTGAATAAGAATAATAATCACGCAGATGAAGAAGGAAAACTGAAAGAAATGAACATATTAATTTCGCATGTACTTTATTTCATCCTTCTCCATATTTTCTCTATCTGCGAATTTCGCAATTTCGCAGTGCGAAAGCTGTACTACATTACGATGATGATTTGTCGTTGCTATTCTATTGAATTTCGTTTCACCTTTAACGGTCGTGCCAACGACATATCTGTGCAACAGCCTCATCGCGTGTAAAATGAATTTTGCACAGCAACGCAATGCCCACATCCCTTTCGAGTTTTGTGTGCCATCAAAATCATATCAAAGGACACGAATCACGTTAGTACGTTTGGCCAAAATCTCTCAAATGCTCTGAAAAATAATCGTCAATCACTCGTTCGTACACACACGCGCGCGCCCGCACTCACACATATTTTTATGGTGATAACACTCATTTACATGCTATAAATGAAATGCCAGCAACACACACTCTCTCTCTCTCTCTCTCTCTCTCTCTCTCTCTCTCTCTCTCTCTCTCTCTCTCTCTCTCTCTCTC